CCCTGCTCTTTAACAACCATCCCACAACGGAGCCCTCGTGCAGCACAAGGGCAGTTTACCCCCTTAACAAAGGCAGCAGCGCTGCAGGAAGAGCTTTCCCCAGAAATGGCTCCTGGTTCAGCAGGGCACATTACTCAACTGTCCTTGACAAGTGACCTCCCCATGAGTCCCTCCCCGTTCGGAACAGGGAAGCATTTTGCAGCACTGCATCAAATTTAATGTTACTTCTGCTAATAAATACTGTTCAGAAAGTCCAACTTGCTCCCTACTGGGTCTTGAGCTCTGCACAGGGAATTTAACACTTCCAACTATAGCACGGGCTACTCCAACCTAAACTAAAATGATTTACAGAGCCTTAGCTCTCATTTGACTTTATTACCAAGAGTTTTACTCCTAGGAACTGCTTTGCAGCAGCACATTTTTCTGAAGCAAAGAAAGGGCTAGGATGGAGCTCTGCAAGAATAAGGAGGAGGAACAAAGAGCATCAGCAGAGTTTGACTACAGAAAGGGCTCTCCTGGAGCATTTGGGAGTCTTATTACAGCCCCACGTGACACCAAGATACCTGCAAGGCGCCTGCCACCCCCACTCTGATAAGCATTCCTTGGCACCAGGTCACTGGATTAGCTCCTCATCAGCCCTTTCTAACACTGCAATTTTCCCACGTGGGGAAGCCGTGCGGTCCAGCACACACATGGACCAACACGGGCAACTTCTGATACTCCCCGGCCTTGCAGGGGGTGCCAGGCGGCCTCGTGCTCCGCGAGCTGAGGCAAGGCACCGGGCGCGGGATGAGTCAGGGATGCGCGGAGCCGCTTTCCCCTTTTGAATTGCATGGGGGCCTGCGGGCTTGGCGAGAAGCATCGCGGCTTCCTGCCGGGCCCGAGTGACTCAGCGCAAGTAACGGCGCCAGCGGGGAGGCCGCGGCTCTCCCCACGCCCGGCGGCCTCACGGGCACCCGGCCACCCCCTCGGGAAGCGGGGGGGATGCCGCAAAACACTCAATATTTGCGAGGCGAAGTCGAAGGGCGCCCGCTGCCCTAGCAGGGGCAGGTCCAGGCCGTCCGGAGCAGCTGGTTAATGATTAAGACAAGAGATTAAGAGCCCGGAGCCGCAGCCGCCCCCACGGACATGGCGCGGGGACCCCGTGCCCCTCAACGGCCACGCGGCGGCGAGGCCCACGCGAGACCTGCGTGGGGACAAAGGCGGGACCCCAGCGCGGCGGCGGCCCCGGGAGGCCCAAGGGAGAAGGAACCGCCGGGGTGGGGCCAGCCAGACTGGGCCTGATTGAACCGGGCCTGGACGAACCCGGCCTGGATGAGCCGGGCCGCTCCCGCCGCACTCACCTGCGCACGATGCTGCCTCGCCAACGACTGGGGATGAGCGCCTGCGCGCGCGCTCGCCTATAGGCCACCCCGCGCCACGCCCCGCCCCCTGCCTCCACGCCATTGGCCGCCGCACCGCTCTCCCGCCTCGCCATTGGCCGCCGCCGCCTCGCCCCAGAGGCGGCGCGCGGCGCGTGCGCTACGTGCCGGGCCTCACGCATGGAAAAATCCCGCTGAGGGGCGGGGAGAGAGGAGGGGCGGGGCTCTGAGCGGGTGGGGCTCTGCCGTGGGGGCGTGGTTTCCGGCAAGGGGCGTGGCTTGCCGCGGCCATGCGTGCGATGAGCGCGGCGGGTCTCAGCGGGCGGGCGGCAGCCGCGCGCTCCCGCAGGGCGCGTTCGGAGCCAGTGCCCGGAGCGGGCGCGAAGGAGGCAGGAGGGGCTGTGCTCTGTCACCCGAAATCCACACAGAGCTTGGGAAAAGCACAACGCTTTTCTGTGCAGAGCACGATCGAGCACGCGAGTCACAGTGACAAGCTCAAAACGCAGTAAAATGGGGACAACTGCTGCCCTGAGGAAGCCGGCACCGCCGAGCCGCGTTCCCGGGACACGATTCCCTTGCACCGCGCTGTGCCCGCGCCCAGGGCTCGCAGGCTGCCACAGCCTGCCCTGCTCAGCAGACTGTACTTTGTTTTACTCTGCGCCACGCCATATGTATTAAAATAAAACTCAGAGCTGATATTAAAAACAGAACTGCCCAGGCGCGGCTCGGGGCGGTTGTCCTGCTTTCCTTTAGAGCAGAGCAGCCCTAAGGCGACGGGACGTGCGGCTGGCCGGTGCTTCTGCGGGAACACAGCCTGGCTGTGCACTACTGAAATCATTTATTTTCTTTTATAACTTATTTTCTTTCCTCAGGGGGGGCTTGCTGGGCCAGCGGGGCGGGAGCAGACAGCCGCTAACCCAGTTCGACCTGCAAAAAGGGGCAAAAAATCCAAGCCTGTTCTTGCACGGAGCGGTGCAGGGAACATGTGGCGGGGGGACACGGGGCACGTGGCTGTCACGACGGGCCCGGGCGCGCAGGGCCACGTGCGAGCGGCGGGACGGGCTCATCCCGCTCCGGGCCTGCCCGGGCGTCTCCCTCGGGGCGCCGGATCCCGGATCGCGGTGCCTCCCCGTCCCGCCCCGCAGCCTCATCCAGCCCCGCTCCCCTGGCCGCGCAGCAGCACCGCGGAGGTAACGATGGCGCCCCTATAAATTAGTATCTAAAAAAATCTAAAGCGGTTTCTTCCTGGTGCTTGGGACCCTCTCCCTGCCTTCGCAGCCTTCCTCTGCCCTCTTCCTCCTCGGTGGATTTGGGGTGCACGCGAACGGTCGGTGCCTTTGCGGCTGCTTTCCCCGCCGGGTCTCAAGGGTGATGCTTGGGTTTCCGCCGGGCTCGGGAGCGCGGAGCTGCGGGTGGGAGGTGCCCGCAGGACCGGGAGCAGCGACTGCAGCCACGTTATTTGGCTCCTGGGGAATGAAGCAACGCGCCGAGCCCTGCAAAAGAGCAAAGAGCGCAATTCCTGGCCGCTACCGGTCTGCCAAGGTCGCCCGGGCTTCGAGGGGAAGCTCCGAGCTCTTAGTGCAGCTGGATATTAACTGTGGGAATGGTGCAACCAAGGGCCGCACGGAGCTGCTCAAGGCATGGACGACATTGGGTAAACCTTGTCCTGGGGTCGACGAGGAGGTCGGGAAACCTTCCGTGAGGAAGAGCATGTCCCATGGGGAATGGATTGGCCACTAGAAGATCATAATCGCTATTTGGGGGGTTATAAAACAGGCGCCTGAAGAACAGCCAGAAGCAGAGTGACTCATTTGCTTTCCTAATGAGCGGCAACGCTCATGCAAAGCCCGCGGGCTGGCGAGCAAGATCCTCCTGCCCGGGAACAGGTACGGCACGGATGGCAGGGATGCCGGCCTCCTTCCTGCTCTGCTCCTGTCTCATTCCCATGGGAATCGCTCCGGGGGCCTTGCTGCTCCTGGCTCCGTAGGGATCCAGCCACAAGGAAACCCAAGGAGAAGGCTCCTTGATGGTTTAGAGCAGATAAATGCTGCTTTCCGCACTCCCGGTATCTCTCCTTGGCTGCATCAAAGGATGTAGCCATGGAAGAGCTCCAGCAGGATCAGTAAATCACTCTGGATTTACAGCGGTAGAAGGTGGGTCTGGCCACACGTATCAAAAACTTGTGTTAGAGGAATGAGGCCTGAAGGGACCATGTGAAATGGAGCAATGAATCCTGGCACTTGTCTACACCTGACGTCTGTGAGCAGGAAAATTGGAAATAATAGTAGTAATAATAAGAAGAAAAAGCACGGGGATGAATTTCTAAGGGGTGAGGGCCACCTCTTCTATCAAAGAGGCCACCTGCGAAAGGAAGATGCAGAAGCTCTGCTGGGCAGAAGGTCCCATCTCAGCCCACATGGCCAGCATGGGCTTTACCCTGGTCTACGTTTGCTCTTCCAGCATCTGGGAAGACTCCAACCTGGAAAAACAGCCAATTCCAGGCCATGCTCATGGGGACCTTCATGCACATGGTCGGGAGATGCTCCAGTGCAGCGGTGACCGCCGCATCCCGGTGCCATGTGCTGCTGTGGGCAGTCCTGGAGCGTAACCAGGTGTAAGCCCCAAAATCTCTCCCTCAGCTGATTTTGGGCTGTATTTACCCAACTGGATACACACGGATTACAAAGTTCATCGCAGGGCATGTTTGATTAGTTTAGTCCTCGCACAGTCGAGTGCAACTGTCAGAATAAATGACTTTGTTAGAAGAGGGGGGAAAAATACATGTTTGGTTAATTAACTCAATATCGCAGCCGTTCCCAAACATTAAATACACACCGCCTAAAGCAGCCAGGCGGGAAAGGCCTTTCCAGAATAACAATTTGCTCAGAAAGAATAAAATGAAGAATAAAAAACTGCTTCTGCCCTTGTGCTACGGCTGAATTATTGTAAATGTTATTGTAAGGGGCAGGACGTGGCCAAGGCAAGTGCTGGGATTTTGCTGTCCTGCCAAGCGCTGGATATTGCTGCCTGGCACCGAGCATCAAAAGCAGAGCTGGATTCAGTGGCGGCTGTAGCTCTTCTCGCTTCCACGGGGAAAATCCTGAGCGTTTTCATGGGGATTGACCCTTGCCCAGTAACGGTACAAAAGGGCAGGCAGATCTACGGCCTGTTCCTACTCTGCCAAATGGCTTTTAGCAGACCTCAGGCAATTACCTTTTTTGGACCCAATTTTGAAGGCAACCAAGTGCCTGAAGCTGCATGGAGCTACCGAAACTCTTGAGATAGATCACTACATAAAAAGGCACCGGGGTGCTGGCTTTTCTCTCTCCCTCTGCAGTCTAAACCCTCTTTAGGAGCCCTAAGTTCTCCCCGGGTTTCACGTCTCACATTCTAAGCCCTGGTTTGTGGCAGGGGAGGGCACCTCGATCCGGCCCCCTGGTTCCCCAGGGAGCCGAGCACCCCTCCTTGCTGCCTCCTCGGAGCGTGAACGCTGGGCGCTTTGCAAACGAGGGGCTTCTCTCTGCAGGGCTCCTTCCCCGCCGCGCAACGGGGCAGGGTGGCAGCTCTGCCCTCCAGGACGCTCCTTTGCTCTCCTTCATTTTTCACTTGTCCTCACTCATTTCAGGTGCAGCGGGAGCCATGCGGCCGCCCCCGGCCGCGCTGCTCCTCGTGCGCCTCAGCTGCGCTCACCTCGTGCAATGGACGTACCAAGGTAACTCCTCCTCGCTCACTCATTCTCGCTCCTCGTTTACTCATTCTTGCTCCTCGCTTATGCATTTATGGCAAGGAGCCTCCAGCAACGCGCCGGGCTTTACGGTGTGCTGGGATAAAAGCTGCCCCTTGGATGATCCCCGAGGGAAGCGCTTTAAATATTGCGCTCCCCTTATTTTATCGTCCTGCCCTCTGCGGTAGAGACAGCAAAGAAGCGCTTATTGTTCCATTGATTTATCCTGTGACATTTTAGCTGGTTCTTAATTGTTTCAGGGGGTTATTTGCAGATTTGCAGCGCTAGTTGAAATCAGCAGGAACCTTTTTACTGGCTTTGGCGGGCTGGGAATCGGGCTGAAACATGGAGTGCTGTTGAACAGAGGCGACTTTGCAGCTGCCCCCTCTGCCCTTTGCAAAGCTCTCCCTGGAATTCCTTTCATCCAGGCGCCCTGCATCGCTGCAGCCCCTGTGGTTATTCAGAGCCAGGAAACAAAATACCTGGGAGCTTAACTGATTCCTCCGCGGGGGAGGATTTCAGTCCCAATTTCTGCCTGAGCTCCGGCTCTCCTTCAGCAGAGGGTCGCTCTCCTGCTGCCATGGGCTGTTCCTGCCGTGCAGGTTTCTGCGCTGCGGCCCAGCTCTCCTGCAGACACAATAATGCACATTTTCACTCCAGGAGAGGCAGAGCAGCCTTTTATTGCCGCCTCTCCGCAGTTCCAACAACCAGACCGACACACTTTGCTGCCGGGAAGGGGCTTTTCCTACACAGCTCCCACCACGCCGCAATAACCCCGCTGCTTCTCCCTGCGCAGAGGGGGAGCTGGACGAGGAGCACTGGGCAAAGCACTTTGCCGACTGCGCCGGCGAGCACCAGTCCCCCATTGACATCCAGAAGAAGAAAGTGGTCTATAAGCCCGACCTGCCGCAGCTGGAGCTGCACGGCTACGACGGGCCCTTGCAGGGCAGCGTTACCATGACCAACAACGGCCACTCGGGTAAGGCCATGACCGGGAGCTTTTCCTGGCCCCGCAGCAACCCCAGCGTTGGGTGTCCGTCAGCAAGGGCAAAGTCTAATGCACGAGTTTCAGCCCCAATTTGCACGTTGGCAGCCCCTAAGCTGGATGCAGCAGCTGTTTCGGTGACAACAGAGGATGCTGGCAGCCACCAGCAGCACAGCAAGGGCTTTGGGGTTTTGAAATGCAGATGTCCTTAATGCAGATGTCCTTAGGTCTTCCCTATGCCCCAAGCCTTTCACACGCAGCTCTTTGTTAGGAAAGAGCTCAGGTTTCTGCACATCTTACCAGGCTGTGTCCTGCAGTGCAACAACAGCAGATAGGGAGCTTTCCTGCTGGGGCATCTGCAGAAACCCTTGAATGTGGCAGCCTCCTGCTTTTCAGCTCCAAATTGGGCTGTGGAGGCTCTCGCTGGGCTCCGTAGCACTCGTGCATTACGCTGCTGGTGCACAGCTAGGTACTGCCCAACGTGTAAGGGAGCACTAGGCTGGAATGGGCTTCAATGAACCTTAGCAGGAGTAGGTTGTCCCTTCCCGAGCAGAGGCCCTGGGAGGGTGTCAGGTTGGTGACACTACGGTGACAGATCATTGATTTTTAGCTGACTGAAGTGCTATCCACAGACAGTGTCCTTTTTTTCTCAGCTCGCTTCACTTTATTTTGCCATCTCATTTCACGCTATTCTCCCACTTTTGCTGCTTTCCTCGCTCACTCTGGAAACACATATACAAACCAGAGAAAGAAGAGGCAATTACATTTCCACAGTTCTCTCTTCCCTGTTTGACATTAAAATGGCTTAAAAGGCAGGCAGAGCCCAACAGCTTTGCCCTTTCTTTCCGTGCATTCGTAGACTGCAGCTGTATAGAAATGAGCAGCATCTGGGGCACGCTGACTTCTCTGTGCATCTTCTACCCCTATGCGATAACCATTAGCAGTAGAAATGGAGAGCTCCAGGTCAGCAGCAAGCCTTGAAAGTGATGAAGTGATGAAAGACATGCTGTTTCCAGGGAGAGACTGTTGTGGCTGCAGTTCTGCAAGCCCTAATGACTAAGTGCTCCTGTTTATCCCCACGCAAGCTCAACATGCAGCCCGCAGCTCTCCTGCCAGCCCTGCTACCCCGGCTGCCTACAAATTAATTCCTCTAGGTTTAGTTTTCAGCTCTCTGGATGCACGTGTGTATTTTCCCTGTTCTCTTGTTAGTATCAAGATGGGGATTTGCAAAGCCGGGGAAGTTTAGTGAAGCACGGCAGCAAATGACAGCTTTTATTCCCAGCTCCTGGAAGGCTGGATTTTCCCATCAACTTCAGTGCCATATCCAGCAACACTCCCCACTTGCTTTATATGCAGATACAAGGTGAAAAGTAGCAGCAAACTGCATTGTTAGTTATCCCTAGGCTTCCAAAGTATTTGCAAAAAAATATCCTGCAGAAGCCTCAGCCTTCCCATAAAATCCTACCCGTCTATGGGCAGGAGCCTCAACGAGCTGCTTGGGGAGGTAAATAACCCTCATTAGGGAAGGCAGGCAGCAGGGAGCTGCATAAAAAGGAAGGCAGAGGTTTATTTCCCACTCTTGACTCTTGGGGTATTATGGAAAAACACATTTTCATCTTATCTGCCTGCAAACAGTTTATAAATTCTTATGATAGTTTAGAAATTCTCTCCTCACAAGCACAAACTATGGCTAACAAATAATACACTGTTCTATTTTGAGAAAATACTCGCTATTTTTTCATAATGTGCTCTGGGCTTTCATTAGGATGATGTAATTCTCCATTTCTGAGGTTAGGTGGGGTGTATTTATTAACATAATACATGATTTGTGGCAGCACGGTAGCAGGAAGACAAAAGTTTCACAGCCCCTTTGTGAATACTCCCTGGAAAGCAAAGCAAGGACATTTTTCTCTACCAATTCTCCCAGCCCTAGCACCGTCTCCTCAGATTTACAGGGTTCTGGCCCTGCACTGATGCAGCTTCCAGAACACTGGAAATTATGGTGACAGCTTAGATGAGGCCAGTCACTTTTCCCAGTTCTACCTCCTCTTTCTCCGCTGGAAATAAAAGATGTTAATGAAGCTCTGCAGAGCCCTGCAAGATGCAGTGGCTGTGAACGGGATGAGCATTAAACCATTTCCATCAGCACCGAAGGGAAGATCTGCAGCTGCACAGGTGCAAAGAAATGCACAGAAATGCGATCTCCTTGGTAGTGAAGCAGCCTGGGGGAAGATGTTGAGTGCACCCTTAGCTTTACACTGCAGGGGTTCCCACGCATGGTGGGTTTCCAGCTTCCCGCGGTCCCTGTCGCTACGTGGCACCCTGTTCTGCAGTGCAGATCGAGCTGCCGCCCAGCCTGCGCATCTCCGGCGGGCTCGCGGGGCGCTACACGGCCGTGCAGATGCACCTGCACTGGGGCGGGCTGGACCTGGAGAGCAGCGGCTCCGAGCACACCGTGGACGGCATGAGGTACCTGGCCGAGGTAGGAGGCCGAGAGGCTCCGCTTGCAGCCGGGGATCGGGGTGCAACAACCAGGGAGCAGCGCGGGGAGCCCGGGGGACAAGGGGCTCCCGGGGACACAAGGGATTAATGCCAAGCTGCCACCAGTGCCACCACACTGACGATAAGTCTATAAACTGACGTTCTGGGAGGCACGAGCACCAGGGGCTGGAGGGCGGCTCTGCCCGGGGTTTGCACCGCGTGTCCCTGTGCGGCATTGGGGGCCGGGGAGCCCTGTGACCCCTCTTGCTGAACGGCCCCGTCTCTCTCCCGCCAGCTGCACATTGTCCATTACAACTCTGCAAACTACTCGAGCTTCGAGGAGGCAAAAGACAAGCGCGATGGGCTGGCTGTGCTCGCCTTCCTCTACGTGGTAAGGCCACCTCGACCCCAGAGCAAGACTGCTGTGTGACTGCTCTTGTATTGCAGCCTGGACAGGGCTGCACGGCCCAGGTACATCTAGGGTGCCTGTTAAGAGCTCTAGAGCAGTATTTGTTCCCTTCATGCCCCAAGGCAGTTCCCCGAGTGCAGCAGTGCTGCAGAGGGCAGGATAGGCTCTGCTAACCTCATTTTCAAACCTCTGTGCTGTGTGTTTAGGATGGACACCTCGAGAACACCTACTACAGCGAATTCATTTCCAAGCTGGCCCAAATCAGGTTTGCAGGTAAGCCCCAGGTGACCTTGCTGGGCTTGAACTTGTAAATCTCAGGCCAACAGCCCATGGATGCACTGAAAAGACCATCTTCTTCATCACATCTTCATGCCCAAAACGTAGCGGCGCTCGGGGTGGGGGTCAGTTTATCCATCCCACCTCTACCTCCTCTCTCACCTTCCTCTTCTGCTCCTCCTCTTCGCCGTTAATTGCTAACACTGTCCCTCTGCTTTCTCTTGAGGCCAATCCACGCAGCTCGCTTCCCTGGACGTCCGGGCCATGCTGCCGGAAAACCTGTCGCGCTTCTACAGGTACCAGGGCTCGCTGACGACCCCGCCGTGCTCCGAGAGCGTCACCTGGACCGTCTTCGATGACCCTGTCGTCCTGTCACACACGCAGGTAGCGGCAGCAGCGAGCTTTCCTGGCGGGCAAAGCCAGCCTGGAGAGGAGCTTCTGTGACCAATTGCCATGTTTAATACCGAGTTATGGGATCAGTGCTGCACTTTTAGGCCAAATCCCTGACCTTGTAGCCGTGTGTAACACGGGTGCGTTGCCCCCAGATCAGCCTCCTGGAGAGCACCTTGCTGGACTGGCACAACAGGACCCTGCGCAACGACTACCGGCGCGCGCAGCCGCTGCACGGGCGCGCGGTGGAGGCCTCCTTCAGAGCCCCAGGTACGGGAACCCGCGTTCGTCACCGCGAGGGGCAGCGTGCCCCCTTGCAGCACGGCTGGGTGAGGACGTGGCGGTGGCTGCAAGTCGTGCCAGGCCCTGCTCTGCCCGCAGCAGGGTGGCACAGCCGGCCCAAGGGGTGCAGCTGGTGAGCCCTCACAGAAACAGGAGGTTCAGCTGCTCGGGTGGCCCAGCACCCTATGGCAGAAACAGCCCTGGCACAGCTCGTTAAGCCAAGCTTTATCAGTGCTTTTGAAACAAAGGTTTTTCCCCAAATCTGCGACAAACTAGAAAGCTGGACATGCACCATGTGGAAGCCTTGGCTTTCAGTAAATGCAGATGTCTCATTGCTCTAGAACCATGTCATCCCGAGGAGCTCAAGCTCAGGCTGGAACAAATCCAGATGCAGCTCCAGGACATGAAGAAAGAGCTGCTGGATGGAGTGAGTCACATGGGTAAGAAACACACGTGCACCTATAGAGCTATAGGCTGAACTCCAGGTTACCGGCTGCCCCAAGTCATTCATAATTTGGGTGCTGACACACGCAAGTAGAATTTGGTCCCTAATCTGGGCCAGATGGAGAATTTCCATGAGTTGTGTTAGCATTAACTCTAACTCACAACCAGCTACTCCGGCACAGGCTGCAGCTTTGCAGGCAGGAGTCTAAGCTCGTGGTGCCCCTAGGGAAAAATCACAGCCTCTGCTTCACACAGGATGACAACAGAGGGAGGGAAAAAACAAGATTTTCCCAAAGCAATTAGGCAAGGGAGTTATTTTTTTTATTATTTCAAGCTTGTTTGTTGTTGGCACCGCAGATGCCCGTAGCTGCAGCCAAATCACTAGGACAGCCCCATCCTGCCAGCTGGGTTTATTCCACAGGACTCGGCCTGACTTACAGATTGGGATGCAAATGCAACAGCCGACTCTGGTTCTTTCAGGTGTTAAATCCAGCACGTTCCCGGCTTTCTACTTCCCAGCAGAGAACATTGAGAGCTGCGTGACCGTGCAGCCCCTGCACCACATGGCTCTCCAAGCCTTCACGCTTTGCTTCTGGGCGCGAGCGCCGCCGGGCAGCACGCAGACCGTGCTCTCCTACTCCACGCGGCAGCGGGACGACGAGCTCGTGGTGACCGTGGGCTCGGCCGTGGGGCTGTGGCTGGGAGGCCGCTCCACGAGCTTCCCCGTGCACCGCGGCACGCAGAGCTGGCTGCACCACTGCGTGGCCTGGGCCGCCCCGTCGGGGCTGGCGCAGCTGTGGCTCAACGGCGCCGAGGGCGAGGGCAAGAGCATCCAGAAAGGCTACGAGACCCGGGCCGGGGGGACGCTGCTGCTGGGGAAAGACCGGGACATGCTGCTTGGCACCTTCGCCAACGGCTTCACGGGCTGGATGAGCCACGTGAACCTGTGGAGCCGAGTGCTGAGCCCTGCGGAGGTGCGGGCGCTCGCCCTGTGCAAAGCGGGGCGGGCGAAGGGGGACGTCATAGCGTGGGGAGAGACCCCCCTTGCCCTGGCGGGGGGCGTGGTGCTGGGGCCTGACACCAGCTGTGAGTGACACCTCCGCTTTTTCCTTTTTTCTTTTTCTTTTTTAGGGCAAGAAACCAATCCAATACCCTTTGGGGAACTTGAGGAGAGAAGCTTGCTCCATGTATTTGTTTTTGATTAATTGCTTGTTTCTCCTTCTGCTTCGTATAGATTCACTAAGCAGCTCCTTAGTGCTCTAGGTTTTTTTTGAGAAGGTAATTGGGGCCTCCGTCAGTGATGGAGCGACAGACGGAGCAGAACTCGGCACACTCCAAGCGCTTGCACTGCCACATCCCTCCCAGGAGGCTGCTCCAGGTCACCCGAGACCCTATAAATTGAGGAGAGCAGTGCACACAGCTTCACATCTTCCTCCCACCCACCCAAGAGAGCTACTGCCTTTCATTAAGGGAATCCCTCTTTCAAGCAAAAGATATCACAGGAGGAGTTTGAGGGCAGGGATGAAGCTCCTTTCCTTTTGAGGGTACAAAAGTGCATCATGCGAAGGACCATCCCCATCAGCAGTGCAAAGTCAGCAGCAGCCTGCTGAAGAATTGACTTTTTTTGCCCTTGCAGAGGGAAATTATGCTGTCATTAACCCTCAAAACATGAAATCAATAAATATCTTAACCAATCTTTCATTTCTCACGTGCACTGTACTTTCTTCTGAGAGCCAGCACTAGTTCTCCGGCTGCAGAGCTTTCCCAAACCGCTTCAGCCTTCAGGTGGAGCTGTGCCCTCAGAAAACGCTTTAGAAGGACCAAGAGCCTTTTTTTCCCCCAGACAAGTTTCAGACACCTGCGAGCTGAGCTCTTTGGAAACTCCAGCTTCAAGCAACTCAGTGCAAGAGCCCCAAACCAGAGGTACAAAGACATGATGGCCACAGCTGGAAAGGGGCTGCAGAGCTGTGGTCATTGCCCTGACACCAGCCTGAGCTCGGCCCCAGCAACGCAGCACGGAGGTTCTTATGGTCTTCAGGACCACGCGCCTCTCGGGACAGGAGGAGCACTAGGTGTCACAGCTCCAGGGAAGGAATATGGAGGGTATTGGGATTTAGGAGAGGGACTGTTGCTCTTTGTCAGCTGAGATGCACACAGCAGAGAGGCCATTCCCAAGGACTACAGTGCCACAGGAGCAAGCGAGTAGAGACCGACTGTGAACGAGCATCAGTCCAAATCTAGAGGAAGAGTCCTAGGCACAAGAAAAAAAAATCTCAAGGAGGACTTTTCTGTAACAGCTGAGGGCTACGTTTGATTTGAAGGCAAATTTGGTGAGCGGGGCAGGTGTGTTGAGCCTTCCCAAGCTCACAGTCCTGCAAATCACCCGAAAGGAGGACAAGAGTGGACAGGATAAAAGCTACATCAGCCCATCTAACAGCATCTCTCAGCACAACCCATTCTCTCTCCATCCCAGAGAACACCGAGCAGCTAAGACTTGGCATAAGCTCTGCCTTCTTTGCAAGCTCCTGCTGCACCAAGTGTGCCAAAAGTCCAAGTTCAAGATCAGGACCAGGGCAAGTCGCTGTTCTCCGGGCGATCCTGCACGTTCTTGGGCCAGGCCAAATGCTGGGTGGCATCACAGCTGGCTCTGGGAGACTTCACTCTTTCCTGCCTGCTCTCCTGGAACAGTCTTGAAATCCTTGAGCTCCTCTTTCTCAGACTGAAACTCCACCTTGTTCCTCTTGGCCATGATCCTGTTGATTTCCACGAAGGTTTTGTTCTTCGTCTCGGGGACAATGATGAAGATGTAAACTATAGTGGCCAGGCAGATGGCACAGAAGATGAGGAAGCTGTAGGCCCCCAGTCCAGCCTGAAGCAATGAAAGGAGACACAGCAGAGGTCAGGGCCATGCAGAGAGGGATGCTCTGGATGTGCACATTGCATGATTTGGGCATGAGCCCAAAGGCAGACACAGCAAACCACACATTTTAACTAGATTTATGTGAAGTTTGGGTGATTCTAAATTCTCTCTCCTGAGATCACTACTATGGAGGACATTCATTGGGGCAGTGGAAAGGAGTGTTTGATGGTCCGTTACACCCGAAGATATTGCTTTGAGACTGAAGCCCTGCCTTATCTCCTGGTCACAGCTTACCTCCATATAGAGGAACACAAGCCCCACGGTGAAGTTGCACAGCCAGTGCACAGATCCACCCACCATGAACGCTGCAGGCCGGGACGACTGCAGGAACATCTCCGTGATCATCACAAAGGGAATCGGACCTGGAAGATAAATACAGATATTGAAATCCCAAAGGCAGTTTGAATCCCTGGTTGACACTGTTCACACCAGTGGCAGAGAATGGTTTCTAAACTGGTGTACACCATCTGGCACAACTCACGGTCTAGACTATGAGCCAAGCCAACAACCAACAGGTATAGCGAGGCATATAGAGAAGAAATGCAGTCTCCAGCCTCACAAACTATTGAAGCTCAGCACAACGCTTGGCTTCATGCAGTTTGCAGAGGAGGCTGGACTAGAGCACGGGTACTTACTGGCTCCAGTAGCATGTCCAATGATGTAAACAATGACACACGCTATGCTGATGTAGGACATCCACGAGAGACTTGTCTGTAGAGAATTTAGTCACAGGTTAGAGCTGCTTTGCATGCAAAGCCACCATAGCTCAGGGCACAATCTGCAGTAAGACTGGAGGGTGCTCTAAAGCCACTGTGATTCTTAAGTGCTAGATCCATCAACATAGATACACTCAGCCACTGAAATCAGAACTTGGGTGTAAACTTTACTTCCAATAAATGGGTACAACAGGTATAATGAACATGATAGGGGCAGGGGAATAACCAAATTGGGTCACATCTCTTCCCAGATTTGCTTTGGGTAGATATACAAGTACAGAGGTCCCCCTCCCAGATGGCAGAAGCAACTTCCAAAATCAAATATACCAGTGGCCTTAGCCCTGGATGGTGCAGAAACGAGGACATCACCACCCAAGCCACCCATCTACACACCTGGAGGTTGAGGGCCAGTGTTAACACCGCGCAGGAGACACAGCACATCCCAAAGCCAGCAAGGAGGAGGATTCTCCTCCCCAGTGACTCCACAATGAAAACCTGCAAGAGAGGAGAGTGAGGGACTGGAAATCTGGGCACACGGCATTTCATGCTGCTGCAAACTCTGCTTATCAAGGTAGTTGTTATCCAAGAAATCTAGTGAAATTTTCCTGGTGCAAGAGGCCCTGCTCGTGGATCCCAAGCAGCAAATCACTCAGGAACTGTAAAATATTGGAGTTTATGAGTAACAGAGAAAATAAGCTGTCCCTTCTTTAACACCCAGTCCAAGTGAGCTGCATGGAAGCCCTGCATGGCAACACTGCATTTCCTGCCATGTCCTACCAACCTGGAAAACAGGAAAGTTAAAATTCTGAGGCCTGGTGGAAACCAGCCCCATCAGTGCAGGAATCACATAACCTTCTGCAAATATAGGGATCAACAGGGGAAACTGGGTGAATTACAGCTCCAAGAGCCCCGGTGGATACTTACAGCAAGTAAAGTCATGACAACGTTGATGGCCCCTATGGAGACGGTAACGTATTGAACGCTATTTTTGTCCACACCTGCTGACAAGAAGATTCTGTCTGCGTAGTAGAAGACCTGCAGCAAAACCACAGCTGGGTTTATACTTAGCTGAGACAGAGGCAGGCAAGCACATGAACCTTACTGCAAAATGTCCAAATCATGCTTAAGAGGGCAGCTTGACTCTGGATCTAGTGCATTGGACACAGATCCAGGTGTAGCTCGTGGCTCCGAGGTCTCAGCTCCTGAGTCTGCACTGAACCACCTCATCCACCCTGTGGTCTTATTACTTTTTATAAGTCTCTGGAGTCTTATAACTTTTTTAGTCACCCCAGGGGCCTTTCCCACACACGTTAACCCATATTTACTCACCGCGTTAATCCCCGAGAGCTGTTGGCCCATCATCATGACAATGATGGAGATGAGCTGCCACCTGAGGCCTCTGACGGTAAACAGGCTGAGCACAGAGATGTGTCCTTCTTCCTTTTCTGATCGGTCTTCCTGGCGCATTTCTTCTATCTCATCATCTACATCATCCCAGCCTCGCAACTTCTGCAGCGCTGGTTGGGAGAGGCAAGGTGAGACATGAATCCCAGAGGGCAAACTGGGAGATCACGGAGAGCAACAGCTCTACAGTGAGCTCTGCTGCTTTAGAGCAGGACAGAAGAGTATGCAGGTTATGGGCAGCAGTGTGTTGCGGATGGGAAATCAGGGATTCACATAAAGCCAAGAAAGGAGCAATGTGCCAGGACTCCTTCCTGCCAGCAAGGAATTTCATGCCATCTTGCTGTTAGTTATGCTCCGCAGCGAGATCTATCCCATTTTGCCCCCTCGCACCAAGGGGTGCTGCAGTACCTTGCCGAGCTTGCTCTTCATCGCCCTTTTGTATGAGCAGGTATCTGGGACTCTCGGGGAAGAAGGGCAGGATAAGGAGCTGAATTAGCGACGGGATCCCAGTGAGCCCCAGCAGCACCGGCCAGCCTGCGACAAGACGATGTAGAGGTAAGATGATGACTGCAAGAAGCCTTTCTCCAAAGGACCAGCAGAAAACGTCCCCGAAGCCAGGGCTTTACCTTTGGCATTCCCAAGGAGGCTGTTAAGCCCGAGGACCTGAGCTATGAGGATCCCAATGGTGATGAAGAGCTGGGGTACAATCCCAACAGCACCTCTCAGGTTTCTGGGGGACATTTCTCCCAGGAACATGGGAACCACATTGGAGGCCAGGCCTAGAAGATAAGGACATTAGTCATGTACTACCTGAGGTCAACATACTCACCATTAAGATGCTTTTTTCTATGTGAGAACAAAGTGAACCCCTCTGCACCACAGGACACGTAGAAGCATCACACTCAAACCTTCCTGCTCTGGCTGAAGACTTAATGCCCTCTAATGACTCCTCTGGCTAGAAAAGCAGCTCATTTTTCATGGAATTCATGGAATTTGGGACAAAAACAAGCAACAAGAAAACAACACATGGTATTGATGTGGTAAAGTAAGAAATTCATTACTGCAGCTGGTACTCTCAGAAAGGTCAAGGATTCTGGCTTTCTCTGGAAGAAGTTTTATGCTACTATTGTTCCAATCCATTTGGGTCCCATCTTTGAGTGTTTTGAGGCTCTGGCCCATTCACTGCTCAGCAGCAGAGCACATTTTTAGGAGTCTAGGTAGGCAGACAGCAGTCCACGGAATCTTAATGGTTGGAAAAGACCTTCAAGGCCATTGAGTCCAACCCTTCAACACTATGTCTGCTAAACCATGTCCCTAAGTGTCTCATCTGGATGTTTCTTGAACACTACCAGAGACAGTGACCCCACCGCTTCCCTGGACAGCCCCTTCCAAGGGTTGACTACTTTTTTCATGTTGAAATTCTTCCTGATGTCTAACCTGAACCTCCCTCCCTCCTCCTGGCGTAATGTGAGGCCATTTCTTCTTGTTCTATCCATAGTTATTCTGGAGAAGAGATCAACCTCCGTCCTCCCTAGAGAGCTGGCAGGAGGTGCCACGTGCCACGACACAAGCCTTGCAGAAGAAAATCAAGGGCTGCTGTGGGTTTGGGGACAGTGAAAGGCTTCAGGAGGAACTTCTACTTCCTCTAAAGCAAGAAGAAATCAGAACCCAAACAAGCTGATGCCACGTGGGAGGGATGGGCCTTCTCCTCGGCAGTAAAGGCTTTGCTACACCAATAATTACTCTATAATGATTTCCTGGCTTGAGGCTTCTCTTGCAGGTGGCATCCTACCAGAGGTATTTCTGCCCTAATAGCACTGAAGACACTGGTGATTTTGAGGAAAAAATCTTCATTATCTGCCAGCTCCCATGATAACACTGGAAACCATGGCAAACAGAACACAAACTCCTCTAGTCCTGCAATTATATGAGACTTTTAGCTAGGATTTCTAACAGAGTTCCCAGCCTACAGGAGCTAGGGGTTAAAGGAGAAGCAGTTCTCCTTTATCTCTTCCTTAAAATAATAAACAATTAGAAAACATTGTAAAACCAATCTCACAAGGTATAGTTAGGTTGGCACTATGACCAGCCTCTCAATTGCCCTGATAAGAGCGTGCTGGCAGTGACCACGCTCAGATAACACTGCTAAGCCCGTGCTGATCCATCCCTGCAGCAGAGCAGGGCTGGAAAGAGGGAGATCCAAAGCCTGTGGTGCCAGGGCAAGCACAGAGCCAGGCTTTGCTGCAGCAGCTTCCCTGCCCAGACACGGTGCCCGCAGGTCAGACCGCCCGCATTGCTCCCCTCGTCATTAGAGATAACAAAAAAGGATCATGTGCAGCAGTATTTGTTAATTCCAAACGCTGAACACGACAAGGCTTTTCCCATGCCGCTTTCCTGTTTTCTCCATTTAGCTCTACAGCACATCCCAGCTTTCTCCTCAGCGCTGGAGACGTCAGCCTCGCTAGCCCAAAGCCTGGGAACCGACGCTCCAATCCATCTTGCTCTGCAGGCACCCAATAAATACAACTCTGCTCATGGCCCCAGGTTTGGTGCTGCTGCTTATTCCACGTGAGGACAGCTCTAACACAGCCCTTGCCAAGTGCTTCCAACACACCCTTCTTCCCAGCTGACATTAGCCTTGCAGTAAAACCAGTGGCCCTGAACCCTGCACTTGCACCTCCAGCGAGTCTCTTCTCCCACGGGAGCAACGAGCAGTTCCCACACTGGTTTCCTGCATCCAACATTGGCTCCGGTGGCTTCAGCTGGGAAAGATTATTCTGTTTCTGGTGCATACAAAAAAAAAGCCAGGCTATTGACTCCGTGATGCCTGGGAAATAAATTGCTATCAGAAGGTTTCCAAAGCCATGAAAATGGGGTGCTGGGAGGTATTTACTCTAATGGATTGCCGCACCCACAAATATATCCCTGTCCTATGCTTCCATTTCCAGCCTTGATGCCAGAGACCCGCAGAGTCCCTCAGAGACCTCTGATACTTCTGTAAGATGCAGAGGACAACTGTCACCCCAGCAAGTGCTGAACTGTTATGCACATGTGGGACTGCCCGAGAAACCACCCGCGGTAGGGAAAAATCCTCACTTTTACACAGCCAAGAATATTCTGCCACTGCTCTCCCCTTCCCGTTTAACCTCTCACTCACCAGCATATATTCCCATGATGATACGGGAAAGGATGATGACTTCGAAGGTTTTTGCCACCTCTGAGGTTCCCATGAGGATTGCAGCAATGATGGAGAAGGCGTTATTTATCAGCAAGGTGCCCTTGCTACAAAGCGAAAGAGAAATGGGTTTGATTGTTATTTTTTCAAAGTCTCAGTAGCGGAGGGACCCCTCTCGAAAACTCAAAGAAATTATCATTCCGAGAAACATGCTAAAGAGAAAATGGCAATAATCCCATTTATCTAGGCGGGAACTAAGGCTTTGAGAAAGTACTGAAATTACTCCGGGGACCTGAGCAGCAGAGACAGGGCCTGAGCTCAGTCCAGGATGGGCATCGTTCTGGATCGTATGGCACCATTGTGCTCCTGGTGGACTTGGCGAGCTGGAACAACCTGTGTCCGGACCCAGGGAACCGCAGGTGGAAAATGTCCAGCACGTCTGCCACTTACCGGCCACACTTGTTAACCAGCGGCCCCACCATGAGCGATCCAAAGAAGCCTCCCAGGGGGAACATGGACACGGTGACAGACCACAGCAGCGTCTGCAAGTTGCTGTCCATGGGCTTTTTGTTCCTCTCCAGGTAGGTGAGGTTGTAGAAGACTTGCATGTACTGCGGGGAGACAGAGCACGCTCAGCAACGGGCAATCGTTTTCGTGTTGCAAGAGGTAATTAGCAACAAACAACACACAGCCTTAAGCGAATATCTTCATGACAACAGAAGGAAAACCAGTGCAAGAAGCTGATGGAGAGGCCCGGGCTAGATAAGGGCTATTTACAAGTTAAGCGGCTTTATTTGATTTGCCCAATTTGTAGAAGGGAGAACGCTCCTCACACCCTGCCTCTCCTGGGCGCAAAGTGCAGCTCTAATATTATCTCCTTCCCTGGGAAATGACTTCTCACACATATCCAGTCATTCGAGATGCAGGGATGTGCAGGGATCTCACACCTGAGGCATCTGCCCACAAACACATCCACCGCCTGCACTTTCCCTCCTATCTGGTTGTCGTCTTGTGCCCAGCTGGGGTCATGGTCCGCGCCGCAGGGCGACCTACCGGCGCTGGAGAGTTGATCACAGACACGTTGTAGCCGTACTGGAAAGAGGACCCGAAGGCGGATATCAGCGTCACCATTGCAAGCAGAAGGGTCATTTTCTGCCAGGGAAAAAGAAAAAGAAATCAAAAAGTAGCTTAGAAGTAAATTTCGCTTTTAGGCACATTCAATAAAAGTAAAGAAAGAAAGATTTCAAGACTTGTTTTCTGTGGTTTTGGCTTCATGTTAACCATATCAATATGCCCAATGGGTTGTTTCCATAACTCACTTTTTCTGCTTATTTGCACCCAGTCATTACAGTAATTCATTCTGCTCTTTTCCGGTATTGCTGATCATTAGGATGACAAATCATTTTCAGGTTACCACGTTTCAAGTACCACCCTGCAGGGAAAACCTTATACGTAATTATTCCTCTTCCAAAGTGTAAATTGGTTAGGGAAATCAAACAGGATGCTGACAGAGAAAGGCTTTTAAAAGGAGAGATTTTGCAGGAAGGGGCAACATCCCTTTCCTGGGCACTTCTGCTTTCACCTCTTGGATTGATCCCGCACTCCAGCATCAAGCTGTTCATGGGTCTAATCCAGTTGCCACTGAAGTAGATGAGAATCTATCCATGCAGTTGAGCCCGGGCTGCACATTTGGGAGCACTTTGCAGTTGAACCCGGATTTGCCAGCGGGGATGGAGCGCCTGCCAGGTGCCCAAGGTCACCGGTTTCTGGGGCCCCTCGGCTGCAGGTGAATCCCGGGGCAGCAGGGAGCCCTGCTCGGAGCGAGCTGCTTTTTCAGGCACGTTAACACATTGCATCGCAGGCAGCTATTGCTCTAAAGCTCATTTTCACATTGCATTGCCGCCGTTGCTCCAAAGCTCATTTCCATTCAGCAGCTTGCTGTTTGCCGTCACCATCATTAGCCTCCCCGTCTCCAAGGTCTCCTGCCCCACGCGGAGGATCCGTCTAGCCTTTAACCTCTGCTTTGCCTGAATAGCTGCTGCTTCCCTTCACATTCCCTATTCAGAAGCTCTAACGACACAAAGAGCAGCAGAGTTTAAGGGATTTTGGGAGAGGAAAACACAAGCGAGTCTTGGAGCAAGGATCACGAGGGAGCCGAGACTCTCGGCTCTATTTCCTAGCACTAAACTGTTGATGTCCTTGCACGGGCGATGAGCAGCAGGCTGCTCTGCTGCCGCTTAGGAAACCCTCCCGGAGCTCAGAGGAGCTGCTGGAGCTAAGGGCTCGCATGCAGCATTTCAGAGAGAGCTGCCACATTCGCAGGCATTGCGCTGGGCAAGAGTCCACAGGAACGTGAGGGCGAAAGGCAGTTTCCATACAGAAGCACCTGCAGCCTAAAACTGATATGAAAACACTTAAAAAGAGGAAAAAAATCACACAGAAGCTGCACGGTAGGTTAGCTGGGGAGGGAGATGGTCTCTCGAATCAGTGCTATGCTACTGATCAAACAAATATAAATTCAGTCCAAAAATGTAGGAAAGTGCTCTCCCTGCAGGATTTGGGGGATATTTTAGCTCACAAGTCTGTATTCGTTTGGCTGCTCTGGATCCCTGCAGGAAGCAAAAGCTGGAAGAATCAGCAGGTTCTTGGCATACTCACCCCCCTCGGAGCGTCGCTGGAGCAGGAGCTCTCTTTGCTCCTTTTCAGCTTCATTTTGGCACTCGAATGGCAGATGCTGAGCGCAGGCTTTTATAGCCAAAACAGATTATGCAGGGAAGGGAAACACCCAACGTAGACAGAAAATCCTCCCCACGACCTCCGAGGAAGCATCCAATCAACGACGGGCGCCTGCGGCCAAAGTGAAGGAGTTTGTCCCCAGTCCTCCTCCAGTGCAGCACGTCTCCTTGGCGTCTTTCTTTTCCTTATTCCAATAAGCCCCTGCTACGCAAGCACTCAAGTCTGCTATCCACTGAATTTCAGGGAAAATGAGGCATTCTATAGGAATCACATGCAATAGTCTGGTAATAGAGTTTTTTTGCCACGGCTCATGACAAGCTGGGGCTGCATTAACCCTCCTGCAGCCACAAATTGCATCTCTGTCCCCAATCCAGAATGTCCTTTCCTGCACAAACCAACTTGTTCAGAGCAGACTGCACAGAACAGGGTCTTCAGGCTTACACGCTTGCTAGCACATGGAAAATATTAATTTTCTATACTTAAGTAACTAATTCCTTTTTCTCTGTATGCAAGGTGTACCCCACGCATGCAAAGACTGAGCAGTGCTCTCCTCATGCTACTCTGAGCAGAGCAGGACTTGGATAATAGTTAACCAGGGCTCCTCGAGTTTATCAAAGGGATGCAAAGTTCATAGGTGCTTCCAAAAGCTGGAAACAAACCCTGTTATTGGTCCGGCAGTCCAACACGCAGCATAAAAAGGGAAGTGTTTCTTGGGCCGCAGGAGCTGGTCATGCATTTTGCGTGTGTTCTCTGAGTGACTGCACTCCCTATCTCCAGGGAAAGCACTAAGTCAAGACTTTCAGCTTTCCCACCTCTTCCTTTAAAAAGCCTAGGGCAGCTACTGGTGATTTCCCTGGAAAGATATTTTGCAGGTCAAAAACCACACTAAGCAGAAGAGCGAGATATTTGCGTTAACGCTAGTTTTGTTTTCTTTCCCGTATGTTTTTCTCTGGAGGATCCTGTTTTGCTTCAAGATCCCCTTATTATTTACCCCATAATACTACCTAATTAATCTAAATCACAACCTCAAGAAAAAAAATGAAGTATAAGCTAAACATTCAAGACCTGAGGGCTTTCACAAGCTGGATCGTCTAACACTTTTAGTGTTGGTCAACCTTCAGCACCAAAAGCTGAAATTCAGTATGGGCAGACCTGTCTATAAACCAAAACACAAAGAGCACAACTCTTACCACTTAATAGGAGCAGAAATAGTGCTGGTTGCAAGAGAAACTAGAGGTAGTGAAACTTTTTTTTTCCTTTCTCCCAGCAAAAGAGCTTTTTTTAAAAAACAAAACTTGCTGGTGGGTAAAAGCAGACCAGCTTTCACCAGTCAGACCAGTCAGATGGTGCTGGCCTGACTCACTTGTTTTTACAGGGTTACTTGAAGTTATAGTTATTTGCTATAGCTGCTTATGCGAATGTTATGTCAGTAGCAGGAGGTGATCTACATCTCTAGCCAGAAGAGGCCAAGTTCTTCTCAAAGCAGCCATTCTGCCCAGGGCAAGGAGGACCAGCTTGCTTCACAAAACAGATTCCCGACCATTAAAGATGCAGGTCACTGCTGAGAGGACATCCTCCCCGACGCTCAGTAACTGCACCAAAGTAGTGCTCTTGGTCATAGGGAAATGGTCTCCAATCCCCTTGCCCGAGCTTGAAGAAATAATCCTGAGGTACGGAAACCCATCAGGATGTGGTTTCTTGCCAAGAGAACTGCTTCGACACAGAGCAAATATTTGCTTACAGCAGCAGAACACTTTGGATCTTTGCCAGCTGCAGCAGGAGCCCGATGCCAACCTCTGCAAGGTAGTAATTGGCACCCGGGCAATCTCAAGGGGAAGGAGCGAAGCTTCTCCTTGGACTTTCATAGCAATTCCAGGGGTGAAATCGGGGCCTGCTCCAACAGGTTATGTCCTGTTGGACTTGGGCTGAGAGGAGCCAACACCTAGGAGAGAGCGCCAAGAGCCAAGCGGGCCACAGGGGCAATTCTGTACTGCGGGCACCCGGCAGCTAGCGAGAGATACTGCTGGAGCAACAGCTTGGGTTTGTTATCGCTTGTTTTTCCTACGGGTTTTAGGATTTTTGTCCTTACTTTTTAAAAAGTTTGTGCTGGGAACTCTTTCTTGGAGAGTTTGTGCAATAGCTGGCTGAAGTAGGAGCCCTTCCTCCTTAGGGCAGTTGGATGTCATCACACCCCAAACACCAACACTGTGGCTTCCAAAGTGGTATTTGGGGACTTAACCCACTTTGCACTTTGCTTAGATCTCCTCTAAGTGCCAGCAGACAGGTTTGCCAGAAGGGGCATCTTACAGGCACATTTATCCTTTGAGCTACTGCACGTGTTGAAGTATAAGAGCTCCTTACATCTGCTCTTCACCACCACAGGGTGCATTTGCCTCAAGCTCTTTGCTCAGCGATGCATCCTCCTTTGCACTTGCCCATCACGTAGGAAGCATTCCTATGTATGCACACAGGGAATTGCTTCTACCTCCCACCCAGCCTGTGCTCGCAAAGCTGGATTCCAAGAAATTAGATTGCCTGGAAGAAGATGCAATTGAGAATATCAGTAATAAATGATGGAAAAAGGTTGCACAGAGCGAGGAGCTGGCAGCCACTCTGCAGCACGAGGGTGACGGCGCTTGCAGTTAAGGACACCCTTAGAATTAGAGATCCGCGCAGCACATGTTCAAAACATGCTACCACTAAGAGCCTTTTCATCTGAACAAAAAGCTAAATGAGATTTATTCTTGTGCTATCCTTTCCCCCTGCAATTTCAGGAGGAATTGTGTTTTTATTGAGGGCTCATTTTACACTTTGAGCCACAGCTAAAGCCTCAAGGTGAGATCCTAGTGTAGACAGGAGGCCATTTGCTTGCAGACAAGTCATAGGGATTCTGCCCTATTAGCTGCATGAAGGGTTTTCAGGCAGCTCTGCACGAGGCAGAGCGCTGGGGATGAAGCAAGCCCGCCTTGCAGGTAAATAGCAAGCAGGAGGCTCCAGAAACATTAGCAAGCGAGGCCTTGCTTTGCCTCACAATGCAAATGCTGGATAAAATCCAGCCAGACTCCTTTGTTTTTTGTAGCCTCAATCACCCACATTCATCCCCAAAACACAATCAGAGGAGCAGGTGAGCTTACCGCAGCACGCTCGGAGAAGATGGTCTGGGAACTGCCTGGTCCTTCCCTCATGGTGACTCAGCTTGTGGGATCCAGAGGATGTTGCAGAGGAGTGTGGCTTTCCCTGGATATGAAAGCACCTCCTGCACTTTGTTCAGCAGAAGCATCTGACTGCAGAACATCCCCAAGCTGCTCTCTTGGGCCTTGATAGGTTCATTTTTATATTCAGGGTAGAAAATTAGTCTGTGCCAGCCAAGACCTCTTCGTAGTCAGCTCAGGCCACGCTGCAGGGATCTCTGCACTTCCCCAGCGAGCTGCATGGAACCGAGACACGTGGGGTTCTGCACGATGCAATAAACGCCCGTGCCAGTTACCAGCAGGAGTAACTGACCTTATGCAACCATCAGCCTTCCAAGCATCACCTCCAGTCTGAGGTCACCTGCACCGGTTCTTCCTGCTGAGGGGAGAAGGTGACAGAGGCAAGGCCAGAAATGAGCTTTCCAAGATGCTCCTCTGCTTTGGCCACAAGACAAATCCTCCTTTTCTAGCGTCTGCTTTGTTAGAGCCGTGACTTTTCTGTCCCACAAACACAAACAGGAGGTGTTGCCCAAATCCTCCTGTGCGACTGGACTCCGGTTCACAGATGGAATTGGAGACCAGAGGGAAGGACAGAGGGGAAGGGGTTGGGGGGCGGGTGAAGAATGGGATTTTGCACTAACCAGATCAGCATCAGCAGCTGCACAAGCGAGGGAGGAACTCACCAAATCCGAACAAACGCCTGCCTTGGGAAAGAGGTTTGGGTGAACACACTCCAGCCATTCATACCCCTCATCCCAGAGTTCTCATCTTCCCAGTTTGCCCCCATGTCCCACTCCTGCCTCCTCTACCCAGCCCATTCTGCTCCACTGTGGGCAAAAAAAAAAAAAAAAAGAGCTGCAATGAAAAGCCCATTTTGAAATTCCTGCAGGAACTTTCTGTCCTCCCCTTCTATCACTCCAAGCCCTCCCTCATCTCCGTCACCCACTTTCCTTCGAGCTCTTGTCACTTAAGGAGCTCCCACCCTTTGCAGTCCCAGCTTTTCATTCTGCCCCCAAACTACCACAGTCCAGGAACTATCATAGTCTATAACAGGCACTGCCACCCTCCCCACACATCCTGCTATTTCCCCCTTCATGTGGTCAAAACATTCATCTCTGAACCTCGAAGACCCCGAGACAGCTGCTGAAAAGCAGGACGGGCAGCTCTTCCCTCTGCCATCTGCTCCTAGCCCGCAGGTAGGAGCACGCTGGGCTCTAGAGGCCAAGAGCACGGAAGGAATGGCAAGGTTAGCACGGCAAAACCCAAGGAAAACCCTGATGGACAAAGTGGCATTTGCTCCAAAGGCTCCTAAGGCAGGTGGGAGGCCCAGCCCTGACACCCACCACGCTGCAGGTCCCTCAGCCTGAGCAGCAACGCTGACAGGAGCCATCAATCACTTGCACCTCTGCAGAACATCTGCCCGTTCTCTGCAGCAGCAGGACCCCTTTTTCCCTCCCGCCCTGGCACAGACCTCCGGCCAGAACCTTTCCGGGGCGGCCGGTTAAATTTGGGCACAGTCACAACCCCTGGAGAAGAGCTCTCCCAGCTGGGAAGGGTTGTGCAAGCCCAGGGACACAGGCTGTTGCTCAACTTGTTGAGAGCAGAGCCAAGGGCCAGCAGCCCTTAGTGCTCCAGGGGTCTCGGCCGCTTCCACCTGTTGGACACAGCTGGCAAAATTTTAACCTATTCTGAGCAAAGTTCAGTCAGAGGCTGGAATCACATGGCAGCCTCCACGGAGTCACTCTGCTGCCAGCCGGCTTAGGGATTGTCCCTCCCCCAGAAATACACGTCTTCTTCCAGCTGGGAAATCCTGGAAAGCCTCCACGCTCTCTCCAACATCATTCCCTTTTATCTCCAAGCCTGGCCTCTTCTGGAGAAGATGTACTTTGGAAACTCACGGTGGCACATGTCTCATCTCATGTAT